ACCCCTAGCTTTCTTCCAACCTACTCCTACACCATAAAACATAGCACGTCGGGGCAGTCGGTGGTCGGGCATGCGCAACACATGTCCCAGCCATCTCAAATGATTGATTTTCACTACTTCATCAATTGATTTGCCATCCTTACCTAGTACCCGTTTCCTAACAACTGAGTTACTTACTCGGTGGTCCCAGGATATACGAGCAATGTTTCGAAGACATCTATGATCAAATACTAGTAACCTACGAATATCCTCTACTCTTATCGGCCATGTCTCACTGCCATAAAGTAGGACGGAACGAACTGCTGCGCAGTAAATACGTCCTTTGGTTGATAGACGGATATCTCGCCTACGCCACAAATGACGCAAGTTGGCAAAAGCTAGTCGAGCCTTTTGTATCCGCGCTGAGATTTCGTCACACACCAAACCACAAGGGCTGATGAGACTTCCGAGATAAGTGAAGCGGTCGACACGCTCAACTACTTCACTCCCTATCACTAGTCCGCGTGTCGACGCAACCCAATCCTGAAGTAACATTTTGCATTTCGAGGGAGAGAATCGCATGCCGAACAGGCTTGCATTGTTGCTTAGGGTGGTCAACAGACTCTGCATTTTGTCAGCGTCTTCACCAAATAGAACTATGTCATCGGCATATTCTAAGTCAACAAGTGGATCTCCCGGTAGAAGTTCAACTCCTGGAAATTTAGATGAGGAAAGTGTCATCTCTAAAAGGACGTCAACGACAAAGTTAAACAAGAATGGAGAGAGTGGACAGCCCTGACGAACACCACTTGAGGTAATCAATTCTGATGACAGTTCACCATAAGCTCTCACTCGACCAGTTGTGTTCGAGTAGAGAGCCTTTATAAGGTTGACGTACTTCTTTGGTACTCCCTTCAGTGACAAACATTGCCATAGAACCTTACGATCAACAGAGTCAAATGCCGCCTTAAGGTCGAGAAATACTACCATTGTGGGGCGTCTGAATGTGTGTCTATGTTCTAGGACCTGACGTAATGTGAATATTTGATCTATGCAACCACGTCCAGGTCGAAAACCAGCCTGGTTTTCTCTAGTCTGCTCTTCACGAGCTTTGGTTAGACGTCGAAGTATTATTGAAGCTAATATTTTAGACACTATATTAGTCAAACTAATTCCTCTGTGATTGTCACAGGAGGACTTTTGTCCTTTCTTATAGACTGGTACAATCAGTGATTGAGACCAGTCAGATGGGATTACGTCCAGTTCCCAGATTCTACCTAAGACCTCAGTCAATCTCGCTGCTAATACTGGACCGCCATCCTTAAAAATCTCAGGGGTAAACCTGTCAGGGCCTGCTGCTCTCCCACGCTTCAGATTTCCTATAGCTTTTTCAACTTCGTAAAGAGTCGGAGGACTTACATCAACTTGCCATTCAGGTCGACTGGGGATCGTGGGAAACCGAAGTGTGGCTGAAGGCCAGTTGAACTGATCCCTAAAGTATTCTGCCCATCGATCCAATCTCCTGGATTGAGAATGAATAATATGTCCATCTTTCTCTGCGATTGTTTCGCTAACAGTTGGGTTCCTAATACCGGTTTCCTTAACAAGTCTGAACAGTTGCCTGCTGTTACCTATTGCCGCTGCCTTTTCCATCTCTCTTGCTTTCGCTACCCACCACTGTTCACGATCTTTGCGTAGGCTTCTAGTGAGCTTACGCTTAAGCTGACTCCGCTCTTCGTTATGCTCAGAGCCAGATGGAATGAGTTTTCGAGCATCTATCAGTGCGGTAGATGCTGCTGAGATCCAGTGTTTCTCCCTAACCTTATGGTTTACCGTACTTGCTGACATCACTGCTGTTTCTACAGCTTTTCGGATGTCATTCCATGCTGCCTCGGGGTGGGTATCACTTACATGGCTGCCTAACTGTTTTTCTAGATGTTCCTGAAATATACTCTTAGCTTGACTATCATTAAGTAGGACCCTAAGGGGTTTCCTTGCAGCATGTTTCCTACGTCCAGTAAGACGTAGACAAATACGCGCTCGCACTAAAGCATGATCTGAGTCTAAGCATGTGCTCCAGAATGAGCGGCAGTCTTCTATCGAGCCCCTCCATCGGTGGCTGATAGCGATGTGATCTATTTGGGTCCAGCGTTGAGACGAATTAGGGGGTCGCCATGTCAAAAGATGTTTTTCCTTATGCTTAAAGTTAGTGTTTGCAAGAAACAGGCGGTTATCTGAGCATAGCTGCAACAGACGGTCGCCGTTATCTGTTCTTTGAGCCGCGACACCATAAGATCCACCCAGGTGTCTTTCCCTTTCGCTTAGTTTACCTACTTGAGCATTAAAGTCACCAGCCACTATTACTACATCTGAACGCCTAGCTTTTCGGAGAAGGTCGGAAAGCTTTCTGTAAAACTCATCTTTTACATCATCTGAGCTGCAGTCAGTGGGAGAGTAGGCAGAGACGACGAAGAGGCAACGACGAGTGTCCCTATCTTTTCGAATCCTTACTGTTCCGTTTAGTCGGACAGCACACAAACGACTGTCTACTGGGATCCAGTCTAAGAGAGCTAGTTCTGCCCTAGGACTCAATGCTATACCTACGCCAGCGAGGCCACGGGATGCAGCATCAGGGCTTCCAGATACACGAAGCGTAAATCGAGTTGGTTCGTTACTTTGACATGGTGCAGTCAAATGAATGACACTACTAGGATCCTGTGTGCGCGTTTCGGAGACGCAGCACACATCGATGGAGCGAGATTCTAAAGTCTTAGCTAAGGAAGCCTGTTGTCCTATTTGGCACAGTGTTCGGACGTTGAAAGCTCCTACGTGTAGTTTAGAGCGTGGTTTCAGGAGACCAGGAATAACATTCCGCGTACTCGAATCGTTCGCACTAGCGGGGCGAGGTGATAAAGGGACGTGAGAAGGGTTAGTCGTGGAGATAAGAGAGTCATTGAGAGGTGTAGGAAGGATTTGAATGTGACCAACTTGGTCTCGTGTGCTGTTACGGGTATGAGGGCTGATATCACTTCCCGGTTGCCCACACCGTGGAAGGGTATTTCTTGGGGGACCTGAAAAGGAAATCGGATTAGTGTTGGTCTTAGCGACCTGAGTGCGTGACCGCAGAGCCCAAGGGACAACTGCTTGAGGCCGGTCGCGCACGGCCTTTTTGTGGGAGGTTTTTAATGTGTTAGCTCCGTTCTTCAAAGGGCCTTACCGCCGGAGACGGAAATCCGTGGGGTAAGGTGAGGTGTGACATTTTTAGGGTCAACCTTTTCTAACCCCTTCCTTCCTTGTGAGAAGGCAGCATCGCTGCAGATGCTGGTTGTCCGAGGGAAACACCTTACTGCTGTCACACCTCTGTACAGTCAGCAGTACGACTTCGCCCTCAGACCTTGAGTTGCTGCTTTTAGTCTTACCGTTCTCCAATCGACCTGCCTGGCATGGTAGAACCTGCAGGAACTTGAGTTCCAGCCAATATAGCTCGGTTGGGTCATCACGATAGGCAAGCCCGACCACCACGTCAAGGTAGCAGCTACGGTCGGGAAAGCAATATTTGGGAAGAAAGAAATGCATTTAAGATATTCTTTTATTATTACTCAGTGCTACCAAAGAACTCTGCGTTTTGCGACCATTTTTATCAAATAATACTGTAACCTATATATTCAAAGTCGATAAAAACTTGTTAGATTGGTCTCCGGGATGTTTGATTTTTATGAGAACATCTATCATAAAATTTAATAAGTGGTGAGGATAACTCTTACTCATTGAGATATAGAATTGACAGTCTTCCGTATCCTGTTATATGGTCATTGATGTTCGATTAAAATGTCTTGAGCCGCTTGTGAAGCGAGATGTATATCCGTTTATTTACTTATTTATTTAAACACAAACATTGGCACAAGGAGATACCAAATAGATATGCACCACATAAACCATTTGATTTGTGTAAAGGCTTTGATATTACTCATGCATCCACACCGAGTACAATGTGGAACATCACTTCACACTACATTGTGAATATGAAACATGGTCTATGACGTGTGTAAACTGCAAGTTCCTGATTATGAGTGATCGTTCAGTTTCAACTTACTGATGTTACTCATTATAAAGAAAGGTATCTTGTCAAGAATGATAATGGTGTAGTAGTTATGTCTAAGAAGCGAGATAATTATGAAGAAACTCAGTTGAGACAAAGAAATGAAAGAAAAAACAACAGTATCTTAAGCAGGTTTACCGATGACTTCCATACGATAACAAACTAAGTAGTGATTACTACCAACACTTGTTTAATTCACTCGTTGACAAAGGACGAATATATATTCAAGCTACAAAATCGATATAATTAAGGCTATTCTGCACTTTTGTCATGTGGACACAAAGTATTTTTACGGTAAGCACAGCGAAATATTTCCTGTCATAAAATTACAGCCAGTTGGTACTATCACTATAGTATAGTTTACTAAATCATGCTTATGTTTAGTTAACTGTCAAAGTACTTTACACTCACAATACATGTATAACACCTAAATTCGTTGACTTGTGCAACCTACAACTCCTAAGTAGACAATGATAGATGATTTTTGATAACAAAGTGAGTTGATGTTATGGTTAAACTACATAACAAACCATTTAAGGGCAGCAGCGAACACGTTGCTGAGTAATATTTTAAGTAGGGATATTGACAGATTTAAGACATACCAAACAACCTATACGTAAAGCCTTGATAATGAACGGTTAACAAAGAGATGCTAAGACCGAGAAACACGTATTGGCAGGACGAAATTGTTTTCTTAGAAGTGGAGTCTAATTTTAAGGCGAAATTTCCCCTAGCGAGTCAAGCACGGAATCGCAGTAGACGTTTTGAGATACACTTGACAACTTATGTGAAGTCTTAAACATAGAGAACCTAAAATGACGATTGTTGTATGGGGTTGTAATTAAATGCAGGTTTGATAATATAACGTCTAACATATGTAATACCAAATCCCCATGAAAAAAGAGCAAATGAAGTAGCTTACCGAAAAAACCGTCTCCATTTACCATCAGTCCTTGGACAAACTAAAACATGCTAAGCAACTCAGTTTCACATGAACCACAGAGAAGAGCAAAGAAACTACAGGAAAAGAATGAGTAATTTCCGTTTGCAGCAGCCAGAATATTTGTTAATGGTACTGCACTTAGGGTGCACAAAACGATCCTAGTAAATAATATACAAAATCCACACACATGAGCTGATGAAAAAAGTACGGACCAAACTGCGAGCTATATACTCAGCCGCACTATTTAAAACAAACTTCAACTTTCAAGCATTTCAGTCCCAATTTACAACGGCAAATCAGAATAATTTAGTTCCAATTTCGATATTGTTATGTTTTTTTCTTCTGTGTCTATCATATGATATTTCTGTGAGTTAGTTGCTTCAAATGGTTGTGGACGGAATAAAAGAAGCTTTCATTTAACAGGTTTTCGTGTCTAGTAGCAGGTGATCATCAATACATCCAGGCAAGAACCTAAGTATTTTAACGATGAAAGAGAAAAAAAGAAATTGGTATATCATAGTAAGATACTATCGCCTCTTAAAGGACTCCTGGGAAGGCGCTTGGACTTCTGTTACTCGCAAGATCTTTTGTTCCTGCATTAGTGTGAGCAATATACCATCGATAGTATACTGATAACTTCTGTCATGTCCGATGTGCACAAGCATATTTTTTCAAGAATTAATTACCAAGCTCCAACTTCAGGACCATCTGACTAACTTATCTAGATCAGAATAGAGATCAAGATGATCAAGCTCATCACTGATTATTCTTCAGATGTCGACACTATCTGCAAAAAAGTGTCGACAAGTTCAGTAGTCTTGTTAGTCAAATGACATAGAGAAGATAGGGCACCCAAGATGGTGTTTCGGGGTACACCACCACTACTAACTTCCAGTCAGTTAGTGTCCTGTTTACCCCAACACTGTCTTCAACCACTGAGGAATTCCCTTGTTCACTCTTGTATTCGAAATCTTCTGCATAAGCCCATGGTGAGGAACCTTATAAATGCTTCACTAAAACCCATGAATGTCACATCGAAACACAAACCTTTATCTTGGGCTTTTCTTTAATCCTCTCTTGCAATTAGTAAGTTTTTTAAGGATAAATTGCTCATTCCAGGACCCGTGTTGTTCGGAAGTCTGAGAGATTGCATGATTATACGCGACTTACTAACATGAAATAAATTTTTTCAAGTATCTTAAGAATTATGCTGGCTTGGCTAACAGGTCAGTAGCAAGACTTAAGTATAGGGTTAGCTGTGCATCCTTCTGCCCCTTAAAGAGTTTGGGAGAGGGACGTGTTGAAAAGCGTCGTGAGTGGTTCTGAAATGTTGTTTGTGCGACATGACATCAATCATGGATGTAGCCCATCAAGACCTGGTGACTTGAAAGATCTGGGGTTGACGAGCAATTAAAAAAGTTTGCTCATCCATAGGTATTGATCCTATAGCCGGTATCTCGGTGGTTCGGTTATGAGAAGTGTTTTTAGCAACACCAAGAGAGGAAGTCTTGGTGAAATAGCTTGATAAAGTCTCAGTTGTGGCCAAATCTGACACAACTGAACAATAAAGACTGGAGATACTACCAAAAATGTGTGGTATCTTTAGGTCTACCTGAATCGTTGACATTTGTATGGTATGAACCTACGTTTGATTGCCTGGGATTAATTGTGAGATTATTAAATAACGTCGCGTATTCATCATCGAAATATATGGAGTAAAATTTAGCAAGTATAAATTGTACTGACAGTCTTCATTTGATAAATCAAAATTAATATGACATCACATGCATTCTGTGTGAAATTTAAATTACAGTAATTGAAGCAGGCTAAACTTTTTGCCCCAAGGGTCCATTTGATCTGATGCCTGTGTTATCTGTGACCATTGTCCATTGCTTTCCAGTCAAACGAGTAAAGAAGAGTCTTGGAGAGGACGTGCGAAACCATACAGAACAATTGACAATTACAGCGAAAAAAGTTACAAGAGAAGAAAACATGAAAGAACTATGTGCTACGTTAGACAGGAGGGACCAGTAAGGAATAAAAAAGGGAAGGTAGTTATTAGGAGCCAAGAGTAGCGAGACAAGCGAGTAAAGTATCAGATGCAAAAACTGAACTGCATCAGTGAGTCTGCCTCTGGTAGACTTACAAAGATTCTTCCTGAGCTCAGTCATTCAAAAGGTGTTAATCACCAATAACTTGTTTACAACTGCTGAATTACGGTCTACTATGATATTAGTACTGCTCTAATAATAGAACTAATCCTAAAAGTGTACATTTTTCGTGATATAACTGCCTAATCTGTAAGATCCTACGTGGAAGTCACATTATTATATACACCAACCCGTCGCATCGTAACAAGATAGATATAAACAAGCAAACATAAATGTGGTGTTTGAATGAACTAATGACTGTTATGTACTTGTTGAATGCCTGATTTCGAATTGTAAATACAATACATTCGTTTGTAGTGACCTAATTTTGTCAACAGAAGGCGATTGGTTCAATGAAAACAATTATTATTATAACCAATTGTACCAGTGACTGTTTTACTGTGCTCGTTTGTTTAACTGTGCTAATGACAGCCATTACACTTACTCTCCCGTTGACTTTGAACGTATACGAATTCGGTTACGTTTAGTAACCACGCTTGTACTCTTTTGGCACGATCTCGGTATTCTTTCGATACCACGAGATTGCCAGTCAATATATTTTAACTACTACTATTATCTGCCTTCTGATATTGGTCTACGAGGATCTTATTGGTTAATTGGTACGTAGTCTTGTAGCGGTGTTCATAGTCATGCTCAACTCGACACCACGCTACAATTCTTTCAAATGAGACAACTCCTCACGTGAAAACGTGAGAGCATATTTCACTGTCCTCTCGTTGACGTGAATTCTTTAGAGGGTTGTCTCGATAAGCGTGATGACCATCTCCTGGTACTATACCCAAATTCGAATTTCATAAAGTACTGAATGGGTTTTATGCCATTATCAGATCACCTCTTATCTCCCTGGCCCCCGTGGAGAATAATTCCATACGTTGATGTTTGTTTTATTAATATTATGTTTTCTACCTATCGGATACTTGGTTGCTCGTCCCTACATTTGATCTGAGAGATTTATGCCTATTTTGAGGAGAAAAGGCACAATGACACTATGGACTTCAAGATGTGGCCGTGTGTGTCTTTGTAAAAATTGAGTGTGATTTATCATTCAATCAGGAGACACTGCCTAGTTATGCAACATTTAACAATTTAAAGCAATAAAATAAAAGTTGAATAAAATCCTTAACCCCTCATTGTAAAAGGAAAACGTTACCTTTATGTATGACATGTTTGGCTAGCATTTTGAGTCAGAGCTATTTCTTCCCGTTGAGCTTTTGTCACCAGTTGACTTTATTTATTATGTGAAAGGATTATTGCTAGTCATTTAGCGTTCAGCTAGAGTTTTCAGTCGGGTTCGCTAATTGAGACTACGATTTTCTTCACGAAATGGCATCAGCTATAAGCCAGTTCTTTGCTAACCTTGGCTGACAAGCTTGAGGAACTTAGAGTTTAATTTTGGAGTGCGGGTAAGAAAAGGTGAATTTTACCTGACTTTACTCATGGCTACCCAATGAACAATACAGATTACTTTATCGCGCAATCCGCCTCAAGTACAGGTACGTTTTGCAAATTAGATGGAGCAGCATTCTAAATTCACTTTTTGGTCGTACAATAAATATTTTTGTCGTTTCAAAACATTTCAAAAATCAGTTATTCCCAATTATCCCTATATAACAGTAACATATAAGATGTCTACCAGTGTAGCGGTTCGCATCAATCCAAAACAGACACTGTGCACTAGGATACTATGCTGAGTAGCGTGAATAGAAAGAGCTGGAAAACAAAACGTAAGGAAAAGTGAACCGATGTCTGTTACAGAAGTGAAAACATTTGACTGATAAGAAACTGTTATATTGATTATTAGTAGTGCCACTGTAATTTTGTGTATGTTTGTTTTACTCAACTTTTGCCTCTGAGCTCAGACATTTTGGTTTCACTTTGCCTTTGATTTGGTATTTGGGAATTTTTGCTCAAAGAACCCAGAAAATTGAATTTGTTTTGTAATTGTTATGATTATTATTAGAACGACATTTGAATCGACTAGCTGTAATTTGCGAATAAACTTTAGTGTCTAAATTAGAGTTTGGTTCTATTGTTACTTGGGAAAGCAAGTTACAAATGAATCGATATACCATGCTTCAGTGATGGGAGAGCAAAAGCTTGGCTACAACGCTAACCCTTTAAGCACGCGAAATTTACTAACGAAAATTAAGGAAAGAGGTAGGCGACCATCAGGTGAAATCAGGAAGTGGAGACTCGATGCCGGTAGTTTAACATATAGTGCCTAGTGATGATACATACTTACATGACTCGCCCTAGACCTTGAACAGACCTTGATAACTCAGACAGCATAAAACTATCGGATAATAACTTTATTGTTTTCATAAAAATCGTGATCTTCAATACGCGTCTTATTGTTATGTCCTAGTGTTCCAATACTTATGTGCCTTATTATGATAATTAGGAGTAATTGAATTATAGTATGAACTAATAATCCTAGAAATAACGTAATTGAATCAAGAAGTACTACACAACCACTAATGAATGTATTGTATTTAGAATTCGAAATCAGGCATTCAACAAGTACAAAGCAATCATTAGTTCATTCAAACACCACATCCGCCACAGCTTAAATTAGAGTCTAAGTGTCTGTAATCAATTGTACGTCTTTTTCTCAAGTTCATACTGTGTCTGTCCGACAATGTATTGGATAAAGACTCTGTACTATCTAGAATGCACTCATTAGTATTAGAATTAACAACTGAAATCGGAACAGACTCACCTGGTTCCTGGAATTGTATTTGATCAACATGTCGATTGTGTGCACTTAAGTTATTGATATCTAGAAGCCGCACCATAGATTTCCCGACATTCTTCAGAACAATTACCGTGGACGGTGGAAGATCATTTCCACGATAATATGTAACTTCTGCAGACTCCAAACATCTCATATTCGACCGAAGAATTCTTCCTTTTAATAGCTTTGATGGAGCCTCTTTCGTCACCGAATGTCTGGCATTTCTATATTGCAGTAGAAAAGTATCTACTCCCCTCTCCAGCTCATTAAATGTTGAGGCGGCAGTAGAATCAATAGCAGTTTTTAACGTCCTACAAAATTTTCTGCCTGACCATTG